TTTGTTCTTCCAACTAACTGTACCAGGAGCTTTTAGTTTCCTTCTTTCTATTCTCATTACTTCGTTGATCTACCCTCTTTACAACAAACAAAACAAAAACGGCAAACTATTAATCGCGCTTTTCGCTCCTCTCGTTGGCGTCTTCCTGAAAGTAATCTCGCGAATAAGCGTTCAGCGGTTATACAACATCACGCATCCGGGACATTCTTTTGTCTTGTTGGTACCCTTGTATTGTGGGGCAGCTGTTATTTTCAGAATTTTACAAGCGGATCTCGGCAGATTACAGACCATCGCTCTTCTTGGAGTAATTCATGGAGCTGCAGAAGTCATAGAGCGAAGTACAATGGTTTTTATTGATCACATTTGTCATCAACTGGTAGTAAGAAGAAGTTCCGCTCCTTGGGGAAGTTTTCGTACTCCTCGTCGTGAGCGACTCATGGCTGATATTACAATCATGAGTATGTTGTTTGAATCAGCTGCTATAGTGTCTGTGAATGGATTCTTGTACTTGTATCAATATGTTTACTTAACAGACAAGTCTCTGTTAACTTTGCTACCACGATTTGCCATTCATACTTCTGTTCAGCTTGTAATTGAGTGGTTTTTTACCAGTGTCTCTCTGGCGATTGAGACCCGTTATCAGAATATAGCCGTCATGGCTGTCTGGCAAAAACGGTGGAAAAGACATATCTTGGTGGCAATTGTAAATGCAGTTCCAGTGGCCATCTGGACTGGTACTAACCTTTTAGCAGTTGTGCACGGACATTTTGACGAATTCTTAAATCAGACATGTAAAATGCCTTTTACTTAAGAAAAGAAAACAAACGCTGGGGAAAAGAAGAAAAGAAAGAAAAGACAAGAGAATAAAAGGAATGATAAAATTCCAACAATTTTTTTCGTCCTATCCTTACCCCGTGCCCATATTTCTCTTAGCCCAGCCGCCACGCGTACTGAAAGATATTTCAGACTGTGGGTTTTTTGATAAACCTTGTGGCTACTCTAAGATCACGATTAAAGTGACCCTCGTCTATGACGACTAGCCATTTGGTATTTGGTGAAAAGAAGGCCTGAAAAAGTAGGAGGAGAGGGAAAGGGAGAAGAAAAGAAGGCGGACTAGCGCGTCCTTCCCCTCCCCCTCAAAACACACACATGGAAGCCGGTTAACAAGGTAGTCACGACATGTTTTACTGAAACTGTAAGGAGAAGTCAATGAGGTACCTAGAATTCGGGTGTTCTCATGCTTACGTAGTCAGATTTCTGGTATGATTTTAATGTTTAAAACATTGATTTCGCAAAGAGAGATTTAGTATTAGTTGATATCATAGTAAATAAATAAACGTTTTAGAGGTAGCACATTCACTTAGTGGTTCTTAGTCGTCTACCAAATTCTTGATCGAATTGGAATTTGGAAATGTTTTTTGAGGAGAAGGAAAAACCGGAGAAACCAGAGAAAAAATTTCTTGGAGCAAAGGAGAGAACCAACAACAAATTAAACTTAACCCACATATGGGGTCGACGTCATGATTTGAACCCATGCCACGTTTGTGGGAGGCGAGTGTTCTCACTACTGCGCCACCCTTGCTGCCCTGTGCAGCAAGGATGCAAGGGAGGGAGACCCCGACAAACTTGGAGGCGCATAAGGATGTTAGAACTTTAGGAGAAAGGACTTACGTGGTGTGAGGCAAGAGTCACTGCTTAAAACAGAGTCAGAGGGAAAGAATGAGTGGAGGACCTATGCTCCATCAGGAACGAAGAGGACAAATGATGACGAGTTAAAAGTGCTCGAAGGGCTAAACACAAGGTCGATCAAAGGACTTAATTCAGGGGCACCCAACGACTGTTTTCTGTAAAATATCTGTTCGGAGAAGCAAATATTGCGTAGAATTTTCTGTTACTTGAGGACGGCTAAAAATTTCTCGATAACCGTTCCACTCATGAACAATTTTCGAAACTTATCTCATAAATTCCCTACGATTTTCTGATGCTTAATTTGCTACATTTCACTCCCCAAGTAATGCTGTTTTACGTATCGAAAAACGAAACCTGAAACTTTCGGATTCAAAAATGTGATTGGGAGAGGAATCAGAAAAATTTTCACATTCGTAAAAGGATATAAATTGCATCTAAAACTTTCGGAAAAATAATTCTGAAGCTCTTTTAATTTCGAAAAGACTCAAATTCCCTAGGATGACCGAACAGAATCCAGTTTTATAGCGCCGCTTAGAATGTATTTTTTGAGATCTAAAACTACTCTGAATAGCCTAAAAAGTGTTTTCACCGTATTTAGGACGAAATCGTCGTTGGGTGCCCCTGTTAAACGAAGAGGACTGAAGATGATGAGTTATAAGTGCTTGAAGGGCTATACACAAGGTCGGTCAAAAGACTTAATAAGTGTGAGGCAAGAGTCACTACTCAAAATAGAGTCAGATGGCAAGAATTAGTGGAGGACCTATGTTCCATCAAGAACGAGGAGGACTGAAGATGATAAGTTATAAGTGCTTGAAGGGCTATACACAAGGTCGGTCAAAGGACTTAATTAGTGTGAGGCAAGAGTCACTGATCAAAATAGAGTCAGACGGCAAGAATTAGTGGAGGACCTATGTTCCATCAGGAACGTAGAGGACTGAAGAGGATGAGTTATAAGTGCTTGAAGGGACAAAAAAGGTCTCAAAATTATGTCCGACTCTGGCCAAGGAAGGTCAACTCTACATTTGAGTAACACGAAACAAAAACAGCGAACCAGACAAAATAAATGTCTTATTTATTTACTAAAAGCATAAAAAGAGTAAATACAAGTGTCCGTCGTGTTGTGTCTGCTTTCTTAAACAATGATTTCTATGCTTCGAATTGTGAACAAACAATTATGAATAAACAGTTTCCAGTGAATTCATCTGTTTTCCATGTTCCTCCCCAAGTTGCGCCATGAGCTTTCGACTCTGACACAATGCTTGATAGAAGCTTTGAATCTCAGCAAACGATGACTCGATGGAGGACAGGTCTCCCAGCTAAAAACAGAAAAGAAAACAAGTGTTGATGCAGAGAAGACCGAAAAACTCGCCTCCCATGAAGGGGCTCTGACAGTTTTTTAAGAGAAACCAAAACCAACGCCAAGAGGTGAACTTTTCGTAAGACGAACCAAATTGCCGTTGAGGTCGACCCATTGAGTTCGACTGCTAGATCGAATGTCGAACTTAACTAAGCGTCGAACTAACTTGAAAAGAAAAAAAATATGGCGCGAAAAAGTTTACAGTCGTACGGTGGAACCCCGCTTTGCGGAAACCCGTTCATAAAAGATATTTGAGAGATGGGATAGGAAACAGAAGTAACAAATACAGACATTAAGTGCCCAACTGTCTTTAAGTTTTTCAAACCCACTCTGTGAGACATGTGTGATTGACCTACCAACTGGCCATCTGCCAGTGAGAAGTTTCTTATCCACGTTATATTTTCTAGCAGCACAGGGAAACTAGCCAAGTTTGATGAGATCATGGGCAAAATCTCTGCTGTGTTCCTACCGAGGAAAAAAAAGAGTATTACTTTTATAGTAAATTACGAACTACGAATGAGTCTATACTCTAACAGGGTGAAAGGGTGAGGGTGAAATATATACAAGTTCCTGGTCGAGAGAAAGCCCCCGACAAGAATTTTGTGAAGGCGTCTAAAGTGTGGTTGAAAACAGAAGAAGGGTCGACAAGAGAAGTGATTACAACTGCGCCCTTGGAACGCAATTACATGTAACAATAGATGGCGTGGCAAGCACTTTAATGGGGACAACACGATTCTTTTTCTTCTTTTTTAAGGGACGGAATAAAAGAGCCTAATTTCTTCAAGAAAAGCATCGTGTCAACTTGGGAAGACGTCAATCAAATGAGAGCTGCTAAAATAAATCTTAACAAATACCACGTAAAAGAGCCAAAAGATTGATTATCTCACCCAGCGATCGTTACTGCAAATTGATTTCCTCGGGGAGGGTACTTCCTAGCTAATGGGGATGTGCCTCTATATGGATTGACTATAATGGGGTTACAATTTCATAAGAGTTACTAGAATGAAGTCACAAACACATTTTTGGGATTTGGGGGTGGAGAATTTTTTTGTGTCCAGGAATTTGAAAAAAATGGGCGAGTTCATTAACTAGACATTTTAGGATTGCTGACCTACAAGGCTTTATAAGATAGATGGACAAACAGAAAGTGGCTAAGTATATTACATTTATCCAAAAGTGACTAAGGTGGGGTCTATAATTGGCCACACAATAGACTACAATGGGCTAGGGGTTCTGAGAGAACAGCGGCACATACCCAGCAAAAAAATGACCTGAGTAGCCCCCTGGGGTGAAAAAAAAATACCACAGCTCAATGTGTAGCTTGCGAGTAGCCTGGAGAGCTTGCTATAATATAGGCTACTCAACATGCAGTGGAAAATTCAATATTGAATGTGGCGACCCCTCTAAGCTTGACAGCGTGCCACATTGGATTATTATATACATGCCCATTAATTGTCCATTTCTGAAATCAATTAATAAAATTCATTGTAACAAGTTTTTAGTTAGCTTACTTGTGATGGGCTGCATCAATCTCCAAGAATTCTCCAACAAATGGTTGTTGCAGTCTTGAAATGAGTTCATCTTTTTTCTCAATGATGGCAGACAGTTGGCCAGAGATCTGTTCTAAATGATGACACCTCTGTCCTGTATAACAAACTTAACTGTTTTAAAAGTATTATAGTCAAGGGAGACCAAGGAAAATTATTAAGAAGTATAAAATATTGTGGTCTCCCTAGCAGATGCCATTAGGGCTTTGAAATATGTCTCTTCTCCGAAATGTCAGCGTGAGAGACTAAAAATATTTGTCATCCAGTTTTAAAAGTTACACTATATGTACCTTATTATTAGTACTATTTATTTTCAGCAGCACTTAATCGCAATGTAGCAGAATTCAAATCAAATGGACACTATATACAGCTTTTTTAAAAACGAATGGCAACTTAGCCATATTCTTACAATACAAAACTTAAAAACCAGTTTGAAACATGTTCATTTGTGTTACAGCAAAACCTCTTAGAACAAAAAGTAGATTAAAGCATCTTAAAGTCTCAGAATGTTGTTCAAATTTAACTGGATTCAAAGGAGGGAAACCAGCAAGGAGAGTTAACGAACTATCATTTACTGAGTTAGTGCACCTCACAATTCCTCCCCTTTCTTCCAATACAAGCCTCAGGTCCTTTATTTCATGACTCTTCATGACAAAAGGACAATATCCATGCTGCATAATTAATTTAAAGTACATATTATTATAAATAAATTACCAAGTATATCCACATGAGTGATATCTTTTGTTTCAGCTTCCTTTAAATGGCACTGAATTTCAAGGTTGACCTTGATTGGAGAGAGACCATAAAAGTGAATTTACCTTCATCTGTAACCACTATTTTGATATTCACATCTTGGAGAATCAAATTAATATGAATAGCCAGAATTAATTTCCTGGGAAAGTTTATTTTAGAAGTATTTCCCCCCAAAGGAGATATTTCTTTATTTGAGCGAATAATAAACACTGTATAGGTATGTGTAACCTTTGGTATGTGTGGTGGGATATTATAAAATTCCGAAAATAAGCCCTCCAAATATAAGCCCTTCCAAATATAAGCTCCCCAAACTTGTAACGCAAAAAACCCTCCATTAAATTGCCCCTCCAAATAAAAGCCCCCCGGGGGGCTTGTACTTGGAAATTGCCCTCAAATACAAGGTAAAACAAAGCAAAAACGATAAATTTCCTTGCAACAATAAGGCTAGCCCAATCGATTTTGAAACGCAAATTTCCCTCCGTAGATAAGCCCCTTCCCATATAGGCCCCTCCAAAAATAGGCCCCTCAAAAAGGGCCTTTGTGAAATATAAGCCCAGGGGCTTATTTTCGGAACTTTACGGTAAGTTAAAGTTTTAGAGGTGCATATGGTATCCTTTTGGTATTGTGGACCTTTGATGATAGGTACACTGTAAAAAGGTAAAAGGTTAAGGTTTGTTTAGATAGGATTAAAGAGCATTTAGCTTTCCAGCCAGTGTGCAAAGAGAGTCGTTTCGAATAGTCCAGGGCAAGTGGATTTTTCTATCGGGCTAGTGAATTCTGTTCTTAACTTGCCCGCCTGGCAGGTGAAATTTTTTGAGGGATTCTAATCACAAAAGGACTGTTATCAGCCCTGCTCATTATTGGGCTAGTTAAAATGACTTTTGGGCTAGTACATGCTATTAAACTACTGCTTGCCCTAATGGCAAGCTGTAAAACTGACTTTTTTTGCACTTTGCCAGCCAAATTTTACAAGTACTCCACTTGTGAAAAACAACTAATCCAGGTGGATTAAAAACCCCAACTGGCAAGAGGCAACCAGATGGCTATTTACAAGCATGTCTACGAATTTGAATTCTGGATGACTGAGAAACAAATCCAGCTAGTGGTGGGATTAGTAAGACTCAAACTCAGGACCATTTGGCCATGCTGCCTTCCAACCTCATTCCCAGGGCTCTCTCCTACCCGCCCTCTCTCGCTCCGTAGGGTGGGTAGGAGAGAACCCTGGGAACGAGGTTGGCTGCCTTCCAAATATGATACCTCTATTACAGAACCTTAGCCACAATTCATTCCAGAATTTTTCAATTATTTATCAATATCACCAAAGACAAAAGACAGACAACACAAGTTTGTGCTTTAAAATTTTTGTTGTTGGCTTTCCTTCTGTCTTAGATAGACTAAATTTTCCTTTTTGTGTCCTAAATACAAAGAAGGAAAATGGCTCGCAGATTATGTCTCTCAGTGCTAGGTAGCCTCGAGTAACAATGTACCCTTCCTCGTGCATGGGGGGTTGCAAGAATTAAATTTACCAGGCCGTTTGCTGTTCATTGTTCTTGGAACCTTTAGAACAGATGACATTGTGCAAGTTTGTTGGCTTAATAAAAGTTGTGACTTGTCTTGTCTTCATATTATGCATCAGTCAATTCATCAGTCAGTTTGCAAATGCCCCACCCCCCGGACTGATCAGGCGGGCAAATGCCCCGCAGTAGCCTGGGGGCAGGAAGGGGGGCTGGGTGCAGCTGGAATTGACTTATGCATTATTATAAAATGTATAAACAAACAATACTGGGAAATTGGGAGTTAAAGAAATACCTTGTCCAACGCTTTCCCAAGCCTTGTGATTTCTCTCAGAAGTGTTATTAATATTACTGATGGAGAAGTTGTTTCTGCTTTTCTTTCGATTTCCTCAAAGTTTGAATTCTTCTACAACAAGTTGAAAAATACTCATGATTATATTAATATCTAAAACGTTTCCAAATTTTCATGGCATTGAAGTTTGCTCCCTATATAGTCCTATTCATTTGTCAATGCAAACAAATTTGATCCACTGACATTATCCGCACAAACACAACTTTAGTGTTTAAGGATGAAAACAGAGAACATGAGTGATCACTTTAAGTCACCATGCTGATCTTTTATTGTCAATAATAATTTTCTGCCAATCAATGTCATAATTGCGAGATAGCAGAGTTTTTTTGTCACATTAAATATTGTGGTAAAAAGTCACAGAAAAGTCAGCCATCGGTTATTCATCGATTACCAATATTAATCGATTCATTCAGATCGAATAAGAATGATTTTCATAAATATCAAGTTTATTAAATATAATGTTGACAAACTTAAGTTAAACTTAAAACTTACCCTGTCAATATGACCAGATTTCTCGGCAAACTTAAGGATATTTTGTAAAGATCCTACGTGAATGTACGTCGAAGATGGGGACCACGGGTTTGAATTCTCGTCCACAAAGGACGAACGAAACATTTCCCACTATACGAAGCGCAAGCTAGTGCAAGAACTTTGAGCAAGTTGCAATTTGTAACTCGCGCTTCATGTACCCGAGAATGAAATGGTACTGGGGAGGAAGGGGAAGGGCAGTTGCCTTGGTGCGGCTTAAATAATTTTGATGCTGTCTTTTATGTTATTTATAGTTGTGATCGTGGCCATTTTTTGTGATTTTCGATGAAAAAGGGTCTGCTTTAAATATTACGTCTAAAACACCTCTGGCCCTGAACCACAGTTTTTTTTACCAGTCCACTTCCTCTCCCTCACAAAGGAGATTATTGTTGTTTCAAAATGAGGCTCACTTAGCGTGTAAACATGGCGGCTTCCTTTTTGTGCATTTTGTGGGTGGAAAGACTGATCGACTCTTAACCGACTGATCGACTCTTAACCAACATGGCATTTTTTGAAGAAGAAAATGGTCATAACAATGACTTTGGAGTGGCTCTACCTTCAGAGCTTTGGTTAGCAATTTTCGAAAAATTTAACCCCGTGTATGATGATATTTTTACATTGTGTCTTGTCTGTAAGAGTTGGCGAAGTATAATTTTTACCAACACTGATCCTTCTCTTTGGGAAAAGATAATCGTAAAGAATGTTAGAAACTGTAGCTACGACAGTGCTATTTTGGGAAGATTCAGAACTATCATCAAACTATTTGGTCGTTTTGTGAAGCTCATTCGGTTACAGAAATGTCATGAACTTTTCACTGAAATTCTCCTCTTGTACGCCCCTCGTCTTTCATTTTTGACTACTCTTGGAATAACTGGTATGCCATGGTCGAAGAGGCTTCTCAGAGGGCTGAGTTGTCAAAAATCTCTTGGGTGTGTCACCTTGGAGGGTTCCCTGATTCTTGAAGGAATTTTCAATGAGGATGATTTGCAGCACATAGCTGAGAGTTTTCCTCAAGTTAGAAACCTTTGTTTGCAATACTCAGTGGTCAAGCCAGATTGGATAACTACTGTAAGAGGTGTCATGATGTCCAAGTATAATCATCACATAACAAGTCTGGAGCTAGAGCGAGCAAGAATAGATGCATCTGATCTCAGAGACTCTGTCAAAGAGCTAAAAGGCTTGAAAAAATTTAGTTATGGGAATGACCAAATTCATGGTTTGCCATCTACTCAGCAACTCTATTTAAATTCCAANATGCCATGGTCGAAGAGGCTTCTCAGAGGGCTGAGTTGTCAAAAATCTCTTGGGTGTGTCACCTTGGAGGGTTCCCTGATTCTTGAAGGAATTTTCAATGAGGATGATTTGCAGCACATAGCTGAGAGTTTTCCTCAAGTTAGAAACCTTTGTTTGCAATACTCAGTGGTCAAGCCAGATTGGATAACTACTGTAAGAGGTGTCATGATGTCCAAGTATAATCATCACATAACAAGTCTGGAGCTAGAGCGAGCAAGAATAGATGCATCTGATCTCAGAGACTCTGTCAAAGAGCTAAAAGGCTTGAAAAAATTTAGTTATGGGAATGACCAAATTCATGGTTTGCCATCTACTCAGCAACTCTATTTAAATTCCAAATCTCTTAGGGAAGTGGAACTTTTTCAGGTTGGAGATTTTGCAGAGTATGATTTTGTATTTCCTAATCTGAAGAAGCTGACACTAAATGGTTGTACTTCTGTGTGTAAACTGGGCATTGATGCATCCGCACTTAGGTGTCTTTATCTACTGCTGTGTGTTGAGGTTCGCAACCTCAACAGAATCACTGCTAACTCTCTGCATGAGTTAAAACTAAGGAGATGCAATGCTCTTATTCCAGCAGAACTGATAAGTCTTTTGGTTAGAAACCCAGACATCAAATCATTAGAGCTTGAAGTGTACTGGTCAAGTTTAAGACTAGATCAGCACTCGACTCCATCATTGGAAAATATCACAATATTTGACAATGGTGAACGCTTGACCTCAGTTGACATCCGTTGTCCCAAACTGCAGCATCTTATGATTAAAAAGTCAATGACTCGTTCCACTATTGTAAAAGCAGTTTCAATATTGTCTTTTGATGTCCAGAAGATTGTAGTCAGTGACATACCTAACCTTCGGAAAATCACTGTTGAAGCTGACAGAGTCGCATACCTTGAACTGAACTTTGAAAGACGGCTAGATCATGTCAAACCTATTGAATATACAAAGTTAAATTTCAGAAGTAGGATGTGTCAGTTGAAAATCAAGCATCTTGTTATCAAGAAGTGTAATTTGAAAGCTCTAGTTGTTTCTTTGTGCAATGTTCAGCATATATCCCTGGAATACTGTAACCTTGACTGCCCTGTTGGTGATTTGATTCAAAACTGTGGTATGGTGGAATCACTGACTTTGAAGAACTGCTACGGGCCTTGTCAGTTGAACTTGAACAGTGAGCATCTCAAAGAACTCTATGTTGTTTCCTGTACATCACTGCTTATGGATCACATCAATCTGGCTTGTCCATCTCTGGTAGTACTCAATGTGTCTGGACTGTTATTCTTGCCAAGCCAGGAAGAAGTACATTTTATTGCTAGCAATGTCAGGGAACTGTCTCCTTTTCTTGGATCTGTTAAATTCTCTCATTAGATGAGGCCTGTTAAA